CCGTGTTGAATTAAATTCGAGCTCTAGAGGGACGTAGTTTATCGCCTGAAGTGGCAGAATTCCTTGTGCCACTAAGGTGGGGCATGACGACTACCACGCCACAGAACCACACGCAACGAGCACTAGAAGAGATACAGACAGAATTGCCTGCTAGACTGCAAATAGACTTTACACATTACGGTCCAACACCTATAATTAGAGGTTGTATAAATCTGATAGATTTCATGAACTATTCACTTTTACTCTAATATGTAAGAGATATGACAGCTCGATCACATGGTTGTCGATTTGATGTCTGGCGTGCACCAGCTACTCCTCAACCCACCCAATTCAAATGCCGATCCACTCATTCATTTACGTTGCCCCTGTTCACGAACATCTGTCAACTTAGAGCCCAAATCCAGCCTTCATTCATCTGACTGTCCGGTCATCCATTCAAAGTTAAATGATTAATTTTGGCTCACTAATGTTGCCAATTTCCCTTTCATTATAAACGGGAAGCCTGGAAACACTCGACTGCAAAACTGAAAGTTTATAAGTAAAGCAAATTTTCAACACCTAGCACCCTTCCCATACAATGAGCTGGTAACCAAGCTGACGACAGCTCATTGGTGTGGCGATTGCGGATGGTGTTGACCTCGCTAAGGTCAACAAGAACTGACTCATAAATCTCAAAACAAACCTGGATTGTGGCTGCAATGGCTGCCCAAACGGTACATCTTCAGTCTCTCTGAGCTAATCCCGATGAGCCAGGCCTATTGAACACAGCAGCTGGCAAAACACCGCCTTACCAAGATGGAAGGTGAAATCAGAAACTCTACATGACTTGATGGGATGGTTATTCATACCTTCTAGAGGAAGAAAATGAGAGAACCCTGCAATTATTCTCCCTATGATTATTCACAATGCAATTTATGCATTCACAACGGTAGGAGGGGATACATAAATGCTGTGACTGTAATGACAAAAAAGTGATGAACCCACTCCATTAGTCGAAGATTATTGTTCATGCGGCATTTGAGATCGAGTTGACCCACGACATTTTGACCCCATCTTTACCGCCCAGATTTTGTACTAATGCACTGATAAAATAGAGGATCTGCCTGGCGCGTTTAATACAACAAAAGAGAAAATCACTAGCCAACCCTTGCAGACAACGCTTGAAACTTGGCTCCTTCGGGTCAACACCCACGCAACTACTAAGACTAGACTCAAATGAGGACCGCAACGGAACGGTAGCGGAATGGGCGGCGCGTTTTGCCACACTTTATCCACGATTTGACCTTAATTTTCTCTTTCAAACTTTTTAGAGAAGGAGAAGAGTACGTGGACTTGAAACAAAAGAACTTTGTCCACAGGGATGGAGCAGTCATACATCAGCAATATATCAGCGCTCACCAAACCAACCCTTTTGCACACGTGCGTGACGCACCCGGATTTTGACGGTGCCAAATGCAGATTGAGAGCCTTCACAAACACCTTAGCGTTGACTACAAGAGCGGATTCCACCAACATCAATCGACAGGAGAGGCGACCTGCGTGACCGTTAAATCAAATAAAGGAACTGCAACCCCGATTTCAAATGTCTCCCTCACTTTACTATCGAGCGCATGATACTTCACATCACGAATAGAACACGATCAATCCTAGTAATTGAGTGCCCATGGCGCGTAATTCTCACAAATGCACAATTCCACAGATCATACGTTAGGTCCCGGAATACACCCATTAATGGATACCCCTTATTGATGATATCTTGAAAATGATTACTGCTATTGAGCACTTTTATCAATGTAACCCCACTACGACTTATTCACAACGCACAATCTTGATGACAGGCACGCCATCCATTCTCAATGGTGTAAATCACTGCTACTAATCGAGAAAGGGTGCACGGAACCAATAATAGGACCTTTTGTCTCACTCCTGACTTCAAACTACTGACAGAGATGGACGCCAAGATGAACGCAAGCTGTGTGCAGCAAACCAGAAGCCCAACGTGCTCGTTACCAGCCTACTAAAAGTAAAAAGGTAAGACTGAGTTACCCTACCAGGAAAGCGGAACTAAGCTCCACCCTTAAACGCTTACTCCACTTACAGCATGATCGGCATATTCACCAATCATACTGCGCTCGTAGTGAATCGGATTGAAAGGCAGATGCAATTAATCCATAATCGCCTAAGAGTTCGTGACGTTGGAAGGGGCAGTAATTAGATGTCAAGTCAAACGGAAACCTTATCACTCGCAAATCCATATGAAACAACCAGCACAACTCGCAAGACGAGAATGGCAATCAACGTAACGCTCAACAGTAGGTCATACCGACAATTGTCAAGCTAGCGGCAATCAGCCACTCAGCACTGGAATAACAGCATGTGTAGAGGGCTACAAGAAGCCAAACAGCTTGTGACAACGCGGCATGACGGAGACAGAGATACCTGAGAAAACTCGCCACTTTCGATACGGTTCACATCCCATCATAGTGGCAGGAATTATAATCTTTGCTTCAAAATGTGAACTGTACTGTGACCACTGTCTAACGAATGGTAAGTGCAAAAACGGTAGCATGAGCGTCAAAATCAGTGATCTGGTCACTATCAGGGCTAGTAACTAACAGACCGCGCTCGGTTCTTCAAAAACTTCGATCGCAACATATATTTACAAAAGGAGATCAAAAGCAACGATGAACCGATAATCTTTGAACGTACACTTTAATATCTGATCAGATCCGGGTTGTCTAATTACAGAAGATCCATAATATTGTCCGGCATTTCCAGTATCTGAGTATGATAATAGTTCATTAACTGATCCAGCAACGGAACGTCCTCTTCCGTAACAAAATTGATAGCCACGCCTTTACGTCCGAAACGACCACTGCGACCAATTCTAAAACCGTAAAGTAGTCCAAAAGCTAACCCACCTATGGATGTACACTTCACGACGACTCGGGAGGTCGTAGTTCAGAACAAGAGAAACCTGTTGAACGTCGATGCCTCGAGCCAAAATGTCCGTACTCAAAAGCACTCTTGAACTTCCACTGCGAAAATCGCTCATTATGGCATCACGTTGCTCTTGCGTCAGATCACTGTGCTGAAGTAATGACATCAGAAAAAAAAATAATTCTTACAATACACGACACTTTGAAGTCTCTACGCACGAGCTCCTCTTTGAGGTTTATAGCTTTCTTTACGGTGTTCACGAAGATTACAACCTGACCAAGATCCAAAACGGTGTACAAATCCAACAAAGTCGGCAACTTGTAATCCTCCAACTTCACTTGAATGTAGAACTGACGAATTCCATCCAATGTGAGCTCCTCCTTTTTAACGAGAATTTTCACCGGATCCTTAATCATTTGCTTTGTTATTTCAAATATCTCTGGCGGCATAGTGGCCGAGAGAAGAATTATCTGCGCCGACTCTGGTAGAAAACTGAAAATATTTTTGATTTGAGTTTCGAAACCGCGTGAGAGCATCTCATCGGCTTCGTCTAGGACAAATATTTTAATATAGTCCGTGGATAGAACCTGGCGATCCATCATATCGAACACACGACCAGGCGTTCCAACTACGACATGCTGCCCTTCCGGAAGAACTTGAAAGTCTTGTTGCAGGCGCGTGCCACCAATACAGGCGTAACACTTCACATTCAATAAGTAACCAATCTTTTGGATAACCTAGAATGTAGAGAAGATAAGACGATAACTGAATTACCGATTGGATTTGTTTTGCCAATTCTCTTGTTGGCGCCAGAACGAGAGCTTGACACCTTGGCAAACTAACGTCCAGTTTTTGTAAAATACTGATAGTAAACGTGGCTGTTTTACCCGTCCCCGACTGAGCTTGAGCAATTACATCTCTACCCTGCAGGCAAGGTAAAATCGCACGCTGCTGGATAGCAGAAGGACGCTCAAAGCCATATTGGTAAATCCCACGTAAAACTTCGTCCCGCAAGCCTAGTTGATCAAAGTTTTCCACAGTTTCATGATAGTTAGTTTCAATTTCGCCATCTTCTGGTACAGTTTCCCTACAAATACAAATACACGCATCATCAAGAACCTACCCCATATTTCACGCAGTCGTAGTGTAAGGCAGAGTGAATATTTAAACAAAGACAACCGGTGTAAATGTTTATTAAAACGTTTTCTATTAAGCTAAAAACTAGCAAGATTAAAATTCGATTGCGCATTTTTTAAAAGATGCATTTTAAGCCTATTATGCTATTTTTTGTGTTAAAAGCGTTCCAACACCCTAAGATCGCTCTGACACCACAAACTAGTGACGCCTTGGTAGCTAGCACAACCCTTAGTGCAAAAGGCTTTGACGACAAGCAATCTAACTGCCACCATCCCATATTTGAAGGTTCGTCATCATCGTAAGCGATGCATGCTTCCCTTGTAATACTATTTATTTGACCATCTGATTTCTGGCTACTGTTTTGGCGAACATTTTGCCCTTGTACACATTGCTTTGCCTTTGGGGAAAGCCGGGATTTAATCCCTTCTTCTCCTAGGATACTTAGTTCATCCTAACTTAACGTCTTCTTTTACAAGGTAGGAAGCCTTTATTTATACGATCATCTAGAGTATGGCGGTTACTTTGGATGTCGTCTGGTCCTTGTACGCGTGGTCTGGACGTTGAGTTAATCTCGAGCTTAAGCCCTTCTTCTGCTCTCAGACTACATGTATTCATTCCATCTTAATGCCCTCTTCGGCCTAAAGAAATTTCAGAATTCCATAAATCTGATCTTGTAACTTAGTAATACCTGTAATCCTGTGTCAAAACGATCACCTGAATGATTTGTGGACTCCCATTATAGCTGTGTCAAAGTTCCACTAATGCTTTCCTTGAATGTAGGTATGTATTCGAGTTTTACTCATTCTGTTGCCATTTGGGAAGTTCTGAATGGGTGGAATGTCTTGCTGTATCCAATTACTCTTGCCAAGGACCTGTAAATAACTGATGCATCAGCAAATGGTGCACGATATTGTAGCATTCCGGGACTTGCGTTGAGCATATGTTAGAAAATTCGCTGTCACTTTACTTCTGCAAATTTTTGAATGATTTTGATAAGGGATATATAGTGTCTTTGTAACGCTTTGTTTATGTGACTATCTGGCGTTTGGCGGTCACTTTAGGATTTGTCCAGCCCTGTACACGTGGGCTGGTATTCAGGCCACGCTCAGGCCCTGTCGTCTTCAGAATACATGTGTTCAACCTCACTTATGCCTTCTACCACCCTATGGGAAGCCTCGGGGCGCTACAACAGGGATGAGGAAGTGGGTACTAGTGTGCCTTGATCTGGCCCGGACGCCCTTCCACGCAAATAGTAACCGGAAAATCCTAAAGTGACTCTGAAGGTTTTACATTGCTTTCTTCCACTTCGACGGTCCGCTTTGAACAATCCCACGACTAATATCGTAACATATTCGGTACTGTATATAAACACCTACCAAACTCTCCAGTCGTCGAGTATAATGAGAATAAGGGATTGTGCTTGGTTTTCTTAGCAGCTTTATCTGCGTCTGGAGTTTCATGCTGTCTATAGGCAGGAGTTGGAGGTAAGAACTTCCGATGACCATCAAAAATGGAACATTAATCAAAGCCAGATACGTAGCAAGAAAAACGGGATTATGCATGGTCCTGTAAAGAAGGGAGTTTATCACACTATCAGCATCATAT